TTGAAAATGTGCCATATGTTTCTGGTTCTTGTGTTTGAAAGCGACTCCCTCAGGACATTGTTGAAGCGGGGAGAGGGAGGTGTGGAGGAGAGACAGACAAAGAAAAAGGGGGGGAAAAAAAGGAGGTGGAGGAGGATAGTTAAAGAAAAAAAGGCAGAGGAGATGGATGGCGACGGCACAAGAACAGAATGATTGAAATAGTGACAAGAGTGCGAGAGAGAGAGAGAGAGAGAGAGAGAGAGAGAGAGAGAGAGAGAGAGAGAGAGAGAGAGAGGGCAAAGGTACACTGGGCTGGGCCAGTCAGAATGATATATTGACAGGTGGAAGCTTTTGTCCTTGTGAGCGCCGCTCCTCCCAGCAGGAGAAGCTTTAAAAAAAAAAAAAAGCAGCGGCAGCTTGTCAGCACAGAAACGAGTCCTCACTGCACAATTGCATTGGATTTGCCTAACGCCAGAACCTCCTCCTTCAAATGGACCAGTTATGACCTCTCGGACAGCCATTAGCGGCTAACGCGGTGCTGATTCCAGCTGCACTTAAAAGCAATGGATTTGGAAAATCTTGTCAAGGGGAATCATGTGTCTGCCGCTGCAAGTGCAAGCGATGCAGGCAGGAAAGAGGAGTTGCGTGCAATTTGAGCACTTAAAAAAAACATGAGGCTTGCTTATCTTGCAATCGCTCTCTGCACTTGAAAGCGTCTTTCAGGCTAAGTAGACTCAACTGAATGACCCGTCTAAATGGATGGATATGAGCAGCAATGTTAATCAAATGTCAAAGCAAACTTGTTAGTCCACGCATCCTTGGCTCGACTCCCTATTGACAACTTAGATGTACAATTTCTAAGAAATGGCAAGTACTCAGTTCCAAGTTTGAGTACACACGTCACATTTGAGGATAAAAGGCCAAAAAATGGCAAAAATGCTAATATTAGCTTACTCCAGAATACAGTTCTACCGGGTTCTACCTGGTAAGTCAAGAAATGATGACAATGAACACACGCTAAGTTTAGCTTACACCACCGTCTCGTCTTGACTGCAGCGCTCCATTTTATTGTGTTTCAGGTGTTTAAATGTGTTTGAGCAGAAAGGACAATTCCAAAAAGTACTGTGTGTCTGTAAAAACACAGGACAAAATAACACTGTATAATCTGTTTTTGTGCTGTGAAATGACAGCAAACTAGAAGAAGAAAGGAGATGCTAACTTTCTTAGCCTGTGCTCATCGATGGACTGTGCATTGTTTCGTTGATTTACGGCTGACGTGCTCCTTATTAAAAGATGGCCTGTCCGCTGTTTTTGTTCTGCTAAAAGCAAGTGTTAATTTAGCGCCATGTGGTGTGATCTTGATGAACATGTTTACGTGTCATAAATTAACGATGTTTTCTTCATCTGTATTTTAGATGTCCTGTTTTGTTGGCATACATGGAATGCACCTCATGGACAGTCAAACGCCAAAGTCAAAGTATGTTTCTGTTTCTCTCCTGATGCAGGCATAATAGCCCGTGTAGTCTACTTTGCTGTAAGAATTTGCCCGTATTCCCTAAAATTGATTTTTATATGAATTTACAAAAAGGTAAGTTTAATGTCTTAATCACGCTTGTGTGCATATTTGTTTACCCATGCATTTTTTTAGTGGGGGGATGGGCTCGGTGTTAAAAATGACTTTTATTTAGATTTTTTTATTCAGGTCTGGACTCAGTTCCTATCCCTGGTGAATAGCGGGGTGTTACTGTACGTTGGTGTTATGATATGATGAATTTTAGTACATATGGAAGGAACCCGAGTTCCTGATTGGTCCTTGGGCTGAGAAAGTTCCGCTTCACTTGCAAAGTGAACAAAGTAAACCGCTGATGGATGTATGCGAAAAGCAACGCAAACACACAGTCATTAAACACACACGTACGCGCGCGCACACACATATCCAAAGACACACACACACACACACACACACACATACTAATGTGGCCTCATCACATTGAAGCTAATTTCCTTTTCATCAAGGAGAGAGGAAAATGAGAGTTTGCCTCATCCCTGCTGGGGGACAAAGTCAAGGGCCCCCGGTTGGGATTGGGCTCGATTAACAGGTAACATTTGGCACTTGCTCTCTTATCGCAGCGTGAAAATCAAAACGCCGTTCTTTTTTTTTCCCCTTCCTCCCATTGCGTCGAGATGAAATCGCTTGGTGCATAAAGCCATTTAGAGAGAGAGGGAGAGAGAGAGAGAGAGAGAGAGAAGGGAAGGTGAGCGAGATAATCAGGCTGGCCACTGGGCCGTGTTTTCCTAAATGCTCTCCAAAACATTACTGTGCACAGGCATTAAATTAGCCGCGGCCCACCTTAAAATGTTGACATTTAGCGTGACTTTTTGGAGAGTGACACCCTCATATTTTTCTCGTTGGATATCATTAAATCTCAACTGCCCTATGGCCGTGCCTTTCCATTAATAACCCATTCCGACTGTTGCCTCCCTCACTCTCTCCCCCTCTGTCTGTCTCGCCGCATTCTTGAAGTGACGACTCCATTGCTTTTGCCTTAATAATAAATTGAATCGTATCCTCAAGGCTGCATGAAGATAGAGACGCAGATGGACATCGTAAATCCTTCGGCGTCAGGGACGTGACAAAAGACCCGAAGAAGAAGCTCACTCAGGCCATGTCCACACACACGCGCACACACACACACGCACACACGCACAAACGCACAGACATTTTGGAAAACGTAGGTTTTGTTTTTGGTCGTGAAAATCTTTTGCGATGCTTTGCACAGTTTGCTTGAAACTCGGCAGCACGGTGTGTCTCGCGGGTCTGAAGTTCATCGTTCAAAACCTATGATCTGGCATTCTTGCGTGGAGTTAACATTCACCCATGCATTTTCTGATTTGCTTATCCCCACAGGGGTTGCGGGGCGTGCTGGAGCCTAACTCAGCTGACTTCGGGCGGTAGGCGGGGGACACCCTGAACTGGTTGCGAGCCAATCGCCGGCCTGGAGTTAACATGACATTGTATATCACGTTTGTAGTTATTGTTCAGCACCACACATTGTAACAGCGTGAAACACTATGTGTACTTTTTCAGTGAACATCCACAATATGTGATGTACATTCATTCACCCAATTTCTGCAAAATGATGTCTCCATGCTGGTTAACATTTTCATATTCTTACGATACCGGTGTAGATATGGACTCGGCATCAAAAGAGATGCACTCAACCGTTGACGCTGCTAATCTGCATGGGTGCATAAAGCGCATTATTGCGTTAAGTGGTGGGAGAAGGCCCAATTAGAATCAACTTAAAGAATCTAATCATGCGTGAACAGCGCCGTACAGACAACGATCCACCCTTGTCTTCCGCCGTGTATATGAGGTGTGGCGCGACTAATAAGAGCAGATTATGAGCTACAAATTGAACTTTAGTAGCGTGCGTTTAAAGGCGGCGGATACAAGCGTGTCTCACCAGTCGCTCGGTCAGAACGAAACCGCAAACACGTGCGAGGCAGCGGAAGAGGGAAGGTATCGAGGGATCTGCGTTGACTTCCAACCGGGAGGAAGATATCTTGTCTTTTTATGCCGCCCGTGTCATATTTATTGCATAAAGGTCAGAGTGTTCATTTGTTCAAAGTCAGCATTTTGCCTCCCTCCTCTCCGCCGTGTAATAAATGCAGGGGGCTGTGTCATTATCGGACCTACGAGGATTACAGGCTCGGCCGACTGTGATGACTGCATAAAAGTGTGCGGGACTTTTAGTTTCCGCCTTTTCCGACGAGCTCTTAAAGCGAGCCTCGATAAAAAGGTGGCCGTTTTGTGGAGAGAAGTTGGCGAAAAGGCCTTAAATGCGATCCGTAACCCTCGGCGAGATAACACTACAAAAGGACCTAAGAATTATAGTCGAACATCTGAGGTCGAGCTAGCAACAACATTCCACTGTTTATTGAAGCGGTGATTTAGATTGCGGCCGACCGTTTATTGACACAAGAATCCGAGAGATTAAAATTGATTGGCCATTTTGCCTGACTCATTCCCATTTCCGAGGGGGATCGTTTGTACTGTATACGCCACAAATCTCTGCGTGACCCACTAATCATCCAGCCATTTATTCCTCACTCTTTGTTTACGCTGCCTTTTGTTTGGCATTTATGAATTCATTAGAGCGCCTCCTCACGCGGCTTAACGCGGAAGGTGACTGGGGAGTCCTGCGTGTACCCGATAGCGCCGCCGAAATACGACCAACACAAGCGGCAATTACACATTAAAATCCTAATCATGAAGCATTCGGGACAAACTCACAAATAAACAAATAGGAGAGGAAATCCTCTCTGATTGTCCTTTTTTTTTTTTAAGTATTTTTCTTAGTAGTATGTTTGGAATGTCACGTAATTCACATACACCTCTGGTGTCGGTCGAATAAACAAAGAAGAAGCAAGTCCATTTTATGATGCTTGCTAAACTGAGGTCTCGGGATGTACGTTGAGGAATTCGCGATATGGAGAGTCGCAACTTTTCTTTCTTGGGATATCTGAATTGTCTAAACTAAGTGGTGATTGACTTTTATGTCACAAAATAGAACATCTCCCACCTCTGCCATATCTTAAAAAGCATTTGGTTGTCATGATTTTTATTCCGCGAAAAATTTGGCAAAATGTTGAAAATAAATGTGTCGGAAAAATGTGAAAACCTCAAATATTCCTGAATTTTTAACTTCCGTTGATTTTGTAGAAAATTTCCAGTGAGTTGTTTCTGTATTTTTTATGTATATGCATTGAAAAATGTATTATATAATAATAAAATGCATGAAGAACATGCATTTTGTGCATATGTTCTCCACCTTCATACCCATCTCCCACATGTGACATGCACCCTTGACAAATTTGTGAGGAACTTTCTCGGCATATTTTGATCAAATATTGAACAAGGGAGGCAAATCCCTCATAATTGTCTTTTTTTTTTTTTTTTTTTTTGTTTCTGTATTTTTTATGTATATGCATTGAAAAATGTATTATATAATAATAAAATGCATGAAGAACATGCATTTTGTGCATATGTTCTCCACCTTCATACCCATCTCCCACATGTGACATGCACCCTTGACAAATTTGTGAGGAACTTTCTCGGCATATTTTGATCAAATATTGAACAAGGGAGGCAAATCCCTCATAATTGTCTTTTTTTTTTTTTTTTTTAAACGGAACAAGTATTAGTATGAGTATCGGACATATCGGCTCACAGTAACTGTCTTAACTTCGACATGTCTTTGTCTGGTTCTGGATTCCGCTGGGAGCAGCTCTGCTGGCACTAATCCATACTTGTACTCTACTTGGCTTGCTTTTTAACGACGATGATGAAAACACGAACAAAAAGAAGCACAAGAAGAAGCGGGGACTTGAAAAGGACTGGCTTAGAGCAACACTTTGCAAAGACGGATGCAAATCCATTAGTCGTTTCACAGTTATAAAAATACTTAAGGGGCCCTTTTAATCGCGGCGACGTGTTAAATGCGCGGAAATCTGTTTTGATAACATTATTCATAACACCGGCTTTGCTCGTGTGAATTAATAACACTTCATTTGCAGACGCTTCCAGAAAAGCTGGCATGGTATTTGCAGCTAAAGAGATTAATTTTCAAACACCTAATTGACAGACTGGGGTTATACGGGATAAGCAACACACTCTATAAGGCGGCAGCTGCAAAGTCAAGGTGACTGGA